ATCAACAGACATGGCATGAAAATACGTGAGCTGGGGAAAATTCAGCTTAGCAGCTTCTCCCTCCCACACACCAGTACATACATGTGCAGAAACAAATTCTGCACACACTTTTTAATGAATTAAAGCTTAAATGTTCCACGTGGAAATCACCACTTGGACGAAAAAAAAAAAAAAAAAGACAATTTTTCCTTAGGGAAAAAGGGATGAAACCCTGTTTAGCTCCACACACCAGTACATACATGTGCAGAAACAAATTCTGCACACACTTTTTAATGAATTAAAGCTTAAATGTTCCACGTGGAAATCACCACTTGGACGAAAAAAAAAAAAAAAAAGACAATTTTTCCTTAGGGAAAAAGGGATGAAACCACTGTTTAGCTCTCATCACAATTAGCTACAGGCCTCCTATGAACACTGATTGTTTTGTTATGGACCTTCATTTTAATTTCAATGAGTGAGAGGAATCAATTAAAAAAAAACCAATCTGACCTCAAAACCATAGGAAATGTAGTCACACAGAAGGACTACACTCACTTAACTCAACCAGTTTGTGAACAAACTTAGCCATCTGAATAAACAAAACCGGTATCGAGACCATGAGGAACCTCACCCTCTTTGCCCTTCTTCTTCTACCCATGTGCTTCACCTGCACAGATGCTCCTTGGTCTATGTTAGAGACCTCCAAGCTCATGGCAGAGGTCAAGGATTGCCCAGAGGGCTGCTGCTCCTCTCATTTCTCCACTCACCTTTCTCGCCTCGCTTCTTTTTAGTCCTGTCAATGTGGTCCTTGAGCTGGATGCGGACCTGCCTCTCATTGGGCTGGTCTCGGATGAAGGGGTGCTTCATCAGCTGCTCGGTGGTTGGTCTCTGGCTGTGGTTCTTCACTAGGCAGCTCTCAATGAAGGACTGAAACTTTTTAGACCTGGCCAAGGACAGAAGAGGAAGGTACAGAAAAACAGGTGAACATCTGTTCTCGTATTAGAAAGTGAGAAACGTGTGGGTATTCGAGAAGATCATTTGGCTGCTACAGAGTTCTTGCTCAGATGCAGCCTTCCAAAAGGATTCCCATGACTGCTCTGTTGGTGCTTAGCACCGTTTCAAAGCAGCACCATTACATCTGCCCTTTATCACTGTCTCCCTACCCTTCCCATGCACCTTCCTGTCTGCACCTTCCTGGTGCAACGACCAGAAACCACCATTCTACTGAGCCTGGAGAAAGTTGGGAATCATCAGTACGATGCATCAGTATGGGCATCACCAAAGTCAGATGTCATCAATGGCAACCACAAGAACGCAAGGCAGTGTTCCTCCTCCTTTCCCTGCACCCTGTGAAAGCACGGGCAGAAATGAGAGACAACCTATACAGATACAAATGCAATTCCCTCATGTATTGTTTTCCATATTTTGTGGCCCTGGGCAGTGCTTTCAAGATATGTAATTGTCTGAAGATGAGTGGGACAAGCCAGGCTGATGTTTTTTTCTAGATTTCACCATCTAACATTACATTGCTTATGCAAGCTCAGACAACCTGAGTGATGCTTGCTGCTTACAGCCCATCCCTGCTCCCAAAGGGAGATCCACCAGGTCCTTCCAGTCATGGGCCCAGGAGAATAGGACATGCTCTTCAGGCAGCACAGCTTGAGCAGAGGTGGGAATGTGGCTGTTGGTGACAGAGCCCAGCTCCTCCTCACAGCCTGCCTTTCCACAAACAGTTAAACTCAATCTCAGCTAAAACAGTTTCTGCCCAATCTTAAATAAAGAAATTTCTCTCAGTCTCAAGTGTTGCATATCAAAACTTTCCCTAGAACTAATTTCACTGCATTATAAACCCAAGAGAACGGGGATTTACAAGAAAGAAAGATGTTGACAGGCCACTGTATTCTGTGTAGCTTTAGCAAGTAGGAAAATGAGTGTAAATTAATGTCAGAAGCCAACAGATACTACAGAATTGCATTAGAAGTAAAACAATAGGCTTTCAGGGATTTTACTTTTAAGCTGTCAGACTAAAAGTGATTTATCTTTTAAGTGCTAATCCCTACAAATTGAGATGCAAAAATAAAATACACTACTAGATCCAATTAAATCCTCCCTCCAGCTTTACTAATGAGCAAATCTTCCTCTTCCACCTTGCTGCAAGAAACTCCGTGTCTCGTTGTATTCCAGAAGGGACAATCCACATGATGCACCAAAAAAATCTGCTTCTAAAATATGATTCTCCCCTACTGGCACGAAGATGGAGAGACTCCAGTCCTGGACGTGTAGTGCAGAGCACCCTAAAGGTGAAGTAGCTAAGAAGTTCTCTTCCAGGAAGGGATGGGTTTGCCCATCTTTTGGGGGTGGAGGTTCCACTGCCCTGAGATGCCCTAAGACATCTTTGCATCCCTGAGCAGCCATGAAGAGGGACCAGCTCATGCCTCTTGTTTTTCTGAAATCTTCCTCTCCAAAAAAACAAACCTGTCTGGTGGCACAGTTCAGCCCTCAGCAGGGCTGGTGCAGAAGACAAGGGCTTTTTCCCTGACTCTGATCCAGGACACCACACATCTCAGCCCCTTCCCGGGCGCAGGTCAGCCTATCTTCATGAACCTCCTCCAGCTCCTGGGGTTTGTAAAGCTTAAATCAATGTTTGCAAAGTCTTTGCAGCTGCTTGGATGAAAAGTGGTATCACAGTGCAAATATCACCTCATTAACAAAGAGGTTTTGTCATCTTTTATAAGGCAGGGCTAGAGAGTGTTTATGGGAACGACATCACTACAGTTCAAGTTCATTTTATCTATGAAACATGGGAAGAAGAAAATAAAGCTTCACTGCTGGCTGGCCTTAATTGGGAAAGAAAATGATCCCAAAGACTCTTTCATTTCATAGGAACACAGCACTATTTTAAAACTGAGTTCAAGGATTTAGCACGCAACAGAGGTATTTTTCTCTTCAGGATTTTCTATTTCAGACAGCTCTTGTGCCTGCTTTCCCTGACTTACCCTCAAAAGTGCTGAGTTACCTCACTATTTCTTTCACATTAAAAAAGAGATTTTCAGAGCTCCAGAACTCATTCTGGCCAGGGCCAAGGCCTCCAGCTGAGAAATGAGCCAAGGACAATGAGTTTGCCTGGCATCCCACTGAAAAAATCTGCTCTTAGGGCATTAGTGGGGTTGTACTGGCTTGGAGCTTCATCTGGAGTTTCTCACTGCAGCAAAAGCTTTGAAGATGGATACAGGTCTGAGCTGCCTGTGGTACATGGGTCCCAGCTCTACTGGAGAACATGGATCCCTGCTTGCTCATGGAGTGTTGCAGAGGCCAGGTGAGCACCATGCTACCCTGGAGGGGTTCAAAGCTGGAGTTTCATCAAACTATGATTTCCAAAGCAATCCCTCTCCCAAAGGGCCTGGGATCGTGTCCACAGGAGCACAGCCCTAGACAAACCAGCTGACTCTGGGCAGGCACCACCCACCATGGTTCACCACCAAGAGATGTGCAAACCTGGTACAGCCACTAGCCAAGCCAGGGGAAGGGCAGCCAAGCAACCCTGGCTTGTACAAAGCCCATCCTGGTGTCTCAGAGCAGGGAACAAAGGCAAATTCCACCTCAATTATGTTTTTCCCTTCAAGAGACAGGGAAATGTTCTGCTCAAAACCTGATTTCATCAGCTCCCCCCTGCCTGGTGGCTTAGGAAGCCTTTGCTGTATAAACAGCACTTTTGTTTGAAAAATAAACTCTAAAGTCTTACAATCTATTCTGGGCTGTAGCAGTGAGAGTATAATGAAGTAGGAGACTGGTGATCTGGCAAAAAACAAGAATATAAACCATTTTCTCAGCTGACTAATGGTCTCCTCAAAAGGCTGCACAAAGAGAGCGAGCATCTTTAACACCCTCTGCAGAGCTACCCAGGAAAGGTTCTTCTTCTCCTGGTTATGTACTGGAGCTGATAATCAGGCTGACAAAATCAAGATGCCTCCTGTCAAAGCTTGGCTGAGTTTTTAGGGGGCTGGTCCTAAAACCCCAGCACCACGCATCAGATGCAGAGGACTCCAAGTCCTTCTCATTCCTCTCCCAGCAACAAAACACCTGCTGCTTTGGCACAAAGCATTTTCAATTCCAAGCAATTACTCTCCTGCTTTTTTTTTGCATCTTCATAAAAATCTTAAGCATAATTCCACAGAATAAAGCAAAACTTCCCTCCAAGAGCTCAGTCTATCTGGGAGCAGAGGGAAGTGGTGTCTCTGTAACATCTGGCAGATCTTTCCTGACCAAACCACTGCTGACCCTGGAGCAGGCAAACAGCACAATCCGAAGACAAGTGTTTTTTAGGACTCCAGCTCCTTCAGTGCAGAACATAAGGTAACAAAACAGCTGCTGGGCTTCAGGAATATTTTTCCTACACATTTTTATTGGCATGCCCTGCTTTTCTTCTCTTTTTTTTTTAAAAACAGTGATGTATTTTTTCCTGCAAAATTTTAAAATAAAGCCCAAACTAAGTACAAATCTGCGCATTCCTGGGCCTTCAAGATAAACTATCCTTTTTTCTTGGCCTGGATACAGGTTTCCACTTGAAAAGGGAACCTGACTGGAAAGAAATGGGAGCCAAGCAAAGTGTCATCTGGCTTCAGGCTGTGCAAACCACCTCAGAAAAGCCAACTCCATGAGTGAAACAGCAGCACCAGAGAGTGTTCCACTCTGCCTACCTAGGATGCCCTTCATCCCATAGTGAACAATTCCTTCAGATCAAATTGTGTCTCTGCAGGAGAGCTAGACTCAAGCCTGCACTCACTGGGGTGATGATGGAGACCATTACTGACCTCCAAAGCTGTATAAACACAAACACCAAATCCCCAGCGCGCCTGGGCTGCAGGAACAAGTTGCTCCAGAAACGTTCTTACAGTTGTTGAAGACTGAGAAAGAGACTCACCACTTCTTTGATTTCAACCTTGGGGCTGGGTTGCGGGGGATGAGGAAGAGAGCTCTCATGGGATGCATGTCACAGAGAGCTGCAATGTGCAAGAAGAGGCATTAAACACAGCACGGTGCCTCACGGACCCTCCCCGGGTTCTCTTTGCTCACTGTCCATCCTGTTCCCTGGACCAGGCTGCCCTAGCAGCTTTGTCCCCATGGACCCTGTGACGTCCATCTCAATGAGCCCAGGTTGCTTGGGAAAACCTTTGCACAGTGTTTCTTGCAAAGAACCAAGCACTGGCTGACACTCAGCCAACCCCAGCACGTTACAACCCAGAGCTAATTAAAACAGAGCCACGCAGCTACTTACGGGGAGCACCTTCTGCCATCTCGATGGCCGTTATCCCCAAAGACCACAAGTCACTCTGGAAAAGAAAGCAGAGGGACACACATGACACAGGGGAGCACTGTCACCATGGCAGGCACCAGGTGAGGGGGGAAGCATGGCTCTACCCACACCTCAGGAGCTTGTCTCATCCTCCTGTCATGTGCTGGGGCTTTAGAGGAGGCTCCCAGCTTCACTGTTTCTACCAAGATTTATTTTACAACCTTCAAGGCTTTAGTGTGGGACATGCCCACCTCTCTGGGGCACTGCTCCCAGTAGCTGTCGTGAGGACACTGCCTAGGGAGATGCTGATAACCTGAAGGTCCCCTAGTGGGGGCATCTTAATGAGCCCTGTGAACTAACAACAAATGAACCCCAGCTCCTAGATGAGATGGTGACAAACTACTCCTTCAGAGCTTGGGTAAGCAGCAAACCCAGCTGCCAGATCCCTGCTTAAAGCTGGGTGATACATCCAGGGATTTGATACAGCTTCACAGAAAACAGGCTGCCTGGATGAGATTAAAAATATGAAGTATCTTGAGATACCTCAGGAGGCTCCTGTATCATGGGCTGCTCATTAAACGGAAGCCTGAAAAAGCAGCGTTTGCCAGTGGGAAGAGAAACAGGCACTTTTATATACCCTGTTTCCAAACCTTCCTCATCCCACATGGTTGTTTGAGTCTCCTAAATGATCGGAGCTCAGAGAACTCAGCTATTTGGGCAACTTCTTTGATTTCACACTTGTATTGCTTTCCCTTCCACCTTCTCCCTTGCAAACAGGGAGGTTTGTATCCCCATGTCCCTGCCAGAGAGCACTGGTGAGCTCTCCTCCAGCACCTACGCCCCGTCCCAACACCCCTGATGAGTTGTGGCTGCACCTCTCTGTTTGGTAACGAGCCCCAAAGGACAGTATGGCTCTCCTGGACAGCAGCAGAGGCACAGACAGTACGTGTCTGGTGAAATAAAACAAGGACCTTCCCTAAGGGTGCTGCCACTACTTGTTTTTTTTGGCAAAAGGTGGCTAATTAATTTTTCTGGACACCGTGTATAGGGCTGCCAATGATTGACAACCCAGCACCCAATGCATTGGATACAGGACTCAGACTAATTTTGGTGCCTTCACCACAAGCACAGCCCCTGACAGATGCAGGGAGGTGGAGAGACCTGCCTGAGGTGGGAGGGTGGCAATGGCAAGGGCAGCATCTGCAGGTGCACAAGGGACCAGAACAAGCCTGATGCTATGTAGCTGCAGCTGAAGTTTGCTGGACACCAGCTGGCACATCAAAACCAGTCAATGCTGTAAATAGGCACATCTCAGGGTAGAAAGGATGGACTCTGTACCTTCAGCTCTCACATTCTGCTCTCTCTTTGTCCTGCTGTTTGCCACGACCCTGCAGTCCCACTTCAGTTCCTCCTCTCCATGAGCTGCCCTCATGGCATCCAAGTCATCTCAAGCCTCTAAACCTGTACTTTAGTAAGTAAATTCCAGAAAGGTTGTTTTTCCCAGTGCAGAACCCCAAAACCTCAGCCAGAGATAGAGACTGCCTCTAGGGACCACAAGCACCTCCTCACAAATATCCTCCAGGAAAGACAACTTGGATTTTCAATTTCAAGGCACTTTTTCTCCTTTTTAACTGAAATTCTCCCTTAACAAATGCCCTCCTTGCTATGCATCTTTGTACCTGCTTAAAAATTCTCTTTCAACTCTTATTTCTAGTCCTTTCAGAGGACAGACTCATCCATTCTTTGTGTCTGGTCAGCTGGGATTTCTGCTGCATATTTAATTATTGCAGTCTTTCCACATGATTCAGCACACATGACCCCATCCCTTTGGGCTGCTCCTGAACTCCTTCCAAATTCCTAGTGTGTCTTTCCACACTGAGGTGCCCAGTACTATACACAAGCTGCCAGGTGATCTTAAAGCTGGAGCAATACAGAAAGGGATTATCACCTCCCTAAGTATCCCAGAGAAAGCAGAAAACCTCAGTGGGAAGCAAGCATTTCATAATGATGTGAAATTCAAGGGGTTTGGGGTTTTTTTTTTTGTGTAGAGGGGCTTTATTTTTTGAGTATGAAAAGCTTTTCAGTCCACTCAGCAAAAGGATGTCACCCTAATATATTTGCATTGCCTTGACTTGGGAAGGGAAGCAATCTTCCTTTTTTCCTGCTTTTGATTGGGAGCTTATTGACAAGGTATCTCTGAAGAAAAAAGGAAGAGAGGCTGGGGGGAAATCAACAAATGCATTCAACAATGTGGGGGGTTTATTTGTTCTTTTTTGAAGTGGTTTATTTCTGTGAGGAGGTATTTACTGCCTCCTTCCATAGATTACACAGACATCTCTTTCTGGCTAAGGAAACAAGGAGATCAGAGGCTTTTTGTCCAAGAGATTAAGCCTGTGACGATTCCTTTTTTCACCCCATAAATCTCATCTTTTGTTTTCATTATTTTAAGCCGTTTGGCAAGACCTGAGAGCCTCTGATTTGCATCCCTATGAAAAATATAATCATTGTCATTTACATTTTGTATCCCCCACTTCAAAGCAAAAGCATCAAGTGGAGGGATGTGATCTGAGGTACGAACTAATGTCCAGTGGCTCCCACATCACCAGGAGCTCTGAATACACCCTACCTTGGGTGTGTTGGCAGCAATCAGCCTTCTGTTTCCCACCCCCAGGCAAGGGAGAATGGTCAATGCCAACATCAGAGATGCAAGAGCTCAGCTCACTATGAGCATTTGATCCTTGGGGACAATAGAGGGATTCTGATCCTGGCGCTTGTGCATCAGTCAACGGCATATTGAGTGCCCTAGTTATTCTGGAAAGAAAATCCTCAGGGATTTCTGAGGGCAGAAAGTGGCCTATCAAGATATCAGTCCTTTTTTTTAAAAAAAAAAATTAAAAGATAAATAAAAAGCTGGGATTAATTAGAGTGTTGCACCAGGCAGCTGGTGGGGAGAAGCTGCAGCCCTGCGACGAAGCGCTGCCATCAGCAGAGCTGAGGAAACGCCTGTTGTAATTGGTTAATCAAAAAGCATTAAGTAATTGCAGATTAAACTATTTCTACATGTCCTTATCACCTTATCGTTAATGATTTATGTCACCCAGAATCTGAACTCTGCTGCTCTCTGGAAAACCATCAGTTCAAAAGCTGAGTGATGCATTTCAATAGCTGCAATGCCAAAACATTGCTCGCTTGCTTTAAAATCCTTCATCTCTCAAGAACTCTGAGAGATTGGTAATTGCACCTCAAATCATACCATGGTGGTGGGATGCTGCACTAGTGTCCTACTGTCAGAAAGCAGCTGCCTAGCTCCACACCAGAGGGTCTCAAAAGTCCTATTTAAACATTTCAACAACATGACCCCTCAGCATGCACATCAACAGAGGTACTTGGAGATTTCTATGTCTGAGCTTCACCCCCCAGAGCTTATGTGTCTTCCTGTCCTCTCTGGACACGCTCAGTGGACCTCAGGGGGTTTGGAGCTGGAAATTCAAGTTCTGGATGCAACAAAAAAGCCAAGGGACAAAAAAACCAAGGGACATTTCTACAGATGTGTGTCCAGAAACTTGCAGTGAGGCGGAAACAGGATAAAATATATTAAGCTCTCCCTGCATCAAACATCGGACCTTGCTGGAGCTGGAATGAGCAGGTGGGACTCAGAACCCTCCAGAGGCCCTGCTGTGTGGTGTGGGGCTCTGTGCCACATTATAACTCAGCAGCAATGTTGTGCTGCCACCGATCCAAAAATAAACTTCAAACAGGCTAGAGAGACATGGGAAAAGTAGGTCAGGCCCCTGAACTTCTGATTGTGTGGCAGCCTTCAGATCTCCCTGTGAACACCAGCCTGAGGGCCAGAAGATGTGGTTTTGCCCTTTCTAAACCTGATCTGACTTCTCTCCGGAGTAAATAGAGTAAATACAGTATGTTTGACTGTAGTATTTAAACACGCAGCACTGAAAAGCAGGCTGGCAGGTAGGAAGCCCATGTCTGACATCTTTCTCAGCATGGGGAAAGACTTCTTCACAGTCAGTTTGGATACCTGAACAGCACAACAAAGATTGAAGTTGGACCTGAATTGGCACCTCTCAAAATCCAAGGGCCAGAAAGCAGGAGGCTGCTTGTCACCATATTTTTCAAAGCTGCAAGAATATACTGAATTCCTGAGTGTTCAAGTCCATGGTACTGGTGCATAAAATCTGAGGTCATACCAAGCACCTTCTTCAGGTGTTTACGATCACAAGCCTCACTGCAAGCACCAACAAGTGCTGCTTTAATTTGTTCCATGTCTTATTAGCAAACATGCTAGACTTACGACTTCCCTAATGATGTTTAAAAAGGTAGGCAGGTGCTCATTTAGGTACCTTGAAATCGTAGGTGGCATCAGGATTTTCATCGCAGGCGATGACCTCGGGGGCCATCCAGTAAGGCGTTCCAATGAAGGTGTTTCTCCTGCCCACCGTCCTGTCCAGCTGAGCACTGACTCCAAAATCCACTGTGGATCAGAGAGAGAACATGGCACCACAAGGTCAGAGACAAACCTGAGCAGCACTCTCCTGTTGAATGTAAAACACTGAGTTCATTCAGCTCAGCTCCTCTGCACAGTCAGGAAAGAAAGATGCAGCCAGAGACATTCCTGTTGTATCTCTGCTGGGATCAACAAAGGTCAATTAAGGACAAACCTGATCATCTGATGTCCAGGTTTTGTACAAAACCCTGAGTCTTTTTCTTGCTAGGAGGCAATGAGAAGTAATCACAGCTCCTCATACTAATTAGAAACAGGGGTAGCAACATGAATAAGCAGCAGCCTTTGTTCTATGTTTTCTCATTTGAATTAGAGCCTGCCAAATATTGGTAGAATCCTCATTTTTCTACCTAAATTCTTGCTGGAAACTAGAAATGCAAAAGACTTAAGGAACTAACAGCCAAGGAAACTAAGGCCCATAGGGAAATGTCAAGCAGAGCACTGCAAAATGAAGCAAAAACTGATGAAATCAAATCAATGAGAAAATACTCTATGGTCCGCTAAGTTCACTTTGCGCAACACAATGGTTGGAAATTTGCCCTGGAGAATTTCCCCTTGGAGGGGAATCTTCACCAGCATAAAGCCAAACGAGCTGGTGGAGCCATCTGTTAAAATGGGCTTTTATTCTACTGTAAAGAGAAAAGAGAGATGGGAAAACAAGGCTGGCACCTCACTTTTTGGTGTCAGGGATCTTCCATAACCAACACAAAATGAAAAAAGACAGCCTTAAGAACATTGGTGCTGGACATCCAAGGATATCAGGGCATCATCTGTGCTGATCTGCTGTCTCCCACATAACCTACACGTGAATGTCTGGTCTCCTCCAGGGTGACTAACACCACTTGTGAAATTCAGAGTAGTTCTTGCAAATTAAGTTCCCTCCAACAGGTCGTCTTGGAAAACAAGTGTGGGCTATGTCACACTGAACTGAATGGATGATGATCCTGTAAGGATGCTACTACGAAGCTGTGGGGAAACAGTCCTAGATGATGACTGGTGACGCACACATGGCAGTTTTCAATCTGGGGCATGAAAATATGGTCTTGATTGCTCAACTGGAACCTGACGTAGAGCTGCCCAACTACCTGCCTGAGTGGAATCACCACTGCAAGAACATCTCTGCATACTGAACTTGGCCAGCAAGCACCAGCAGCTTATTGCACAGCACTTGGTCAGCACCTAAGGTCATGCTACTGAGGCTGTCATGGGAAAAAAACTGAGTAGCTCTTAGTATCCATCCCCTTTCTCCAAGTCCTGTAGAAGGCAGCTATGCTGTTCCTCCCCAGCCAGCCCACTTGCAGCTTCCAAGAGCTCTAACCCACTCTTACCTAGTTTAACTTCTGCATTTTCTGTCAGCAACACGTTCTGTCCCTTGATGTCTCGATGAATTACTTTGTGCTGGTGTAGATGACTCAAGCCCTAGAGAATTCAGAGGAAGGTTAGAGGAATCCAAGTTCAAAGCATGTTATTTTTTGACATTCCTCCTCAACCAATTACGCTCCAGAAATTAAACATTCACAGTTGGAGTTAAAGCACTTGAGAATGCTTTTGTTTATCATGTGTCCCAAATACTGTCCTATGTCCCATGCTGAGAGGACATGCCCAGCAAGCAAGACATCTCCTGATGGGCTGTAAGTGCTGCAGAAGGTACTCTCCATTGCAGAAGAACCATCAGTTTTATAGAGGTTAAACCCAACTTTTCAGTTTCTGCAGAAACCATATTAACCCAAAATCCTCTGTAGCTCTAGATTTGTTTCCCCCCATGTGCTCCATTGTCTCAGGAAGCCATTTCTGTGGTAGAAATAGCAGAACAGTTTTGTCTCCTTTCTGAATTTCCATCATCCAGAAACTGAAGAAAACAATTCTCTTGTTATATTGGTGCAATAAATGGAACTTCAATACACAGATAAGCTTGTACTTAAAAACTTACCATGCAAATACAAATATTATAACCTGCACATATCCCTCATGGAGGTATAGCTCAAATTAAAAGCCTGTCTCAAAGGCTAAAGGTAAATGAGCTTTTCTGTTGTGCTTTTTTATTAGCTCATTAATTTCTTTCTGCAACCTACATTTTAATTTCATTCACTTAATATTTCAGTTTCAAAGTAACATCCACCTATATTGCCAGCTTTGTAAAAATATGGATTACTTCAAAATCTAATTTTGCATTAGGTTTACATTTCACATTAAACATTCATATTTGAAGAAGAAAACAATTTCTGCTATGGCTACTGGTAGTTATTAGTCATTTTATGCTTGTTACCTTGGGACAACACTGTGAAACAGATTATATCTGCATGGGAGCCCTTTTTAGTCATGCTATACCTGATGTATATATATCATATATACAGACACACACACACTCTTGTGAATTGGAGGAAAAGCAAGAATTTAACTGAATTTCAATCAATCCTTTAGAAGCACGGGATCAAGCCTCATGTTGGAATTACGACTGGTCCTCAACCTCTGAACCAAGACTGAGCCACCTCCTGCAGCACGAAGGCAGGAGCCCTTCACCACCTGCAACCCCACGGAGGTCACCAACGAACCGCCGCAACGCGAGCGATGACACACGATGGTGGCCCTGGGACACGGGTCAACAGAGGGGTTCTGACTCCAGGCCAGAGCCTATTTTAAGAAGCTGGCTCACAGAGCTCAGACATCTAAAATAAGCCGTGTAGCTGCCTGTGGTTTCCTGGCACAGAAAGCAGTGTCCTTAAAACAACCGATGAGCTACAGCGCCAGCATCTTCTGCACATCATGTTGGTGCGGTGGGTGGCATTCTGGGTCAACAGAGAAGTGCTGTGTCACCCCTGGACACCAGCAGCAGCAGAGTCAGACACAGCCTTTTGGAGCAGTCATTTTGCCTTGTTTTCTTTGAGTGGCTCTTTTATGGTTTTCCTTCACAACCCATTTTTTATGTTTTCCCCTGAACAAAATCTCAGATCACAGAGATTTTCACATTGAAGCACCATTATGATCACATCATCTGACCTCAGCAGTGCAAAATGCAAGCAAAACTTTGCTGAAGCTGCCATCTCCCAGCACATGAAACTCTGGCACACCCATTTCAAGACATTCCAGTCCAACATAGATTGCTGCAGCAGCCTCATTAATGCCACAGACATGTGGATTTAATAAAACTCGGGGTGCTTTTTAATCATGAAGATTCTTTCCATTGACTTTATTAGTCCTCACCTTTCTGTTAACTGAAAATGTAATTACAGTGTAAATACATCTTAGCCCTATTAATACTAAAGGAAGTTCTATTTTTGTTGAAGGAAAAGGAAGGGCAAAAGTCAGGGAACTAACAGAGCTAAAGGCCATTAAAAAGGGCTTATTTATTATGCATCATACAAGCACATGAATCATTCATGCCTACTGGCACCAAAGAGGCTCCAGCGCGCGGCAGCCACAAAGCCAGCAGAGCCAAAGGCTTTCCATGTCCCCCAAGCACCACGTGTGACACTCCAACAGCCCCTAAGGTTCAACTCCCTCTGGACACGTACCCGTAAAATCTCTCTGCAGATGTAGGCGATCCACTCCTCCTTCAAGGTGTTCCCCTTCGTGTTCTTGATGAGGTCGGTGACAGAGCCTGCACCACAGAACTCCATCACCAGCTGCCAACCAACAAGAATGGAATTACTGCAGTGACACCCACAGCATCCTCCAGGTTTGCCTGACCCCAGTGTAGGACCCCAACGCAGCTGTGGGGCCACTGGGGCATCATCCTGAAACTGTCAGCTTGTAATCAATCTGGCTTTTGTTATAAAAATGAAACAATAGAAGGCTGGAAGGCTTGAAAGGCTTGTTGCTCTCCAGAGGTTGGAAACATGAAACAGGAATTAGTTCAGCACTGAAAATCAGAGGAGGAAATAAAAAAAACTGAAAATCTCACACTGCACTGCCACATACCCTATTTTATAATTACAATCAATATTTAGTACCAGCAGCAACACAAGCAAAACCCTACCTCTTCTATATATGGTCTTTATATCTGAAAATGTGAAGGCCACAAGTCAGATGTTCAAAAGTTTCTTACAACAAGGTACACTTTTCAACCTCTTTTTTTTTTTTTTTTTTTTTTTTTCTTCTTTCACCAGAAGGTATTTTGACCACCCTTTTGAGCAGGAAACCTTCCTTGAGGGGAAGCTTGACATGCATCTGGAGTCCTACTGCTTGGTTTGGCTCAAATGAGCCTGGGCACCATGGCATGTACCACTTCCAAAGATTCATAATATCAAATATAGAAGGTACAATGATCTAACCCAGGCCCAAACTTCATCTTGTCATTGAGCAACTGTGAAATAAACCTTATAAAAATAGCATGGGATGTGCATGTGCATCCCAGGGCCATCAGAGATCCCCAGGGCATGTAGGAGCAGTCAGTGTGCTCCAGAAAGTGAGCACAGCCTGTGTCTGCAACAAGACTCCTCCCAGACCTATAGAAGTGTTTCTTTCAGGCATGAAACCACATTTTCCAATTAAATTAGCTTGCTACTAAAGGATACCTCCTTACAAGTCATGCTTTGCCAGATTCTTCAATGTGCATGTTTAAAGTTTCTTCCTACATGAAGCCTGCACTGCATTTTATGTACTCCAAGCAAGTGACATCACTATTAAAAGCACTGACCAAGGAAACAAACAGCACAAGGGTTACTTCTGACCAATTGCTCAAACACAGCAGTTTAAAGGACTATCATAAACAATTATAAAATCCAGACAGAGTGCTGCTACAAACCTCCAGGTAAAATGAAATACTTGAGCAGACTGCACCTTAGCTGGCTTTGACCGTGTTCCTATCTTTAATTTTGATACTGACTTTCTCTTCTCTTCCTAAACTGACACCTGAAAAATTCTTTTGTTTATCCCTCTTGTGTCAGGAAACTTGCTTCAAGAAGTAAGTGTGAGCCTGGCCAAGGTCTGTCCTGTGCAAAAGCAAGGAACACTGCTTAAGTGCTTGCAGCTCTTCCAGCCCAGCAGGAGACCAGCAATCCAGCTTGGGTCACTGGGACACAGCACAAGTCACGGGTTATCCCTTACTCCCCCAGCGGGGAAAAATGGAACAACTGGTTTCAAAGTTGCTTTTCTTTCTTCCCTTATCAGTGCCTGCACATGTTTCTGTTTAAATGAACATTTTGGATACCACGGCAGCAAACTTGGAAAAGAAAACCCTGGATAGCTGAGCCAGCCACAAACACTCTCCAACCCAAAAGGCCTCCCTCTCCAGTCCCCTTCCATGGAAATCTATCCATGGGCTCTCACCACAGTCTGCAGCAGGAGGAAGAGGAGGGGCATGCTATGCTATGTGCAGCAATCACAATGATTAGAAGAAACTGGAAGAAATACCTTTCGAAGTACACAGTGCATACACTAATTTGCTAGATTGTCTTGATGAAGTTGGCAGTTCACTCAGTTCTCTACCCTGTCTTTCAGTTTCCATAGAGCAAAGATTAATTCTGCAGCAGGAGGTGAATATTAGGGCCACCTGCTGATGCATCCCAAATCCCTAACTGTGACATCTCCTGGAGATTAAAGAAAAACAAAACAGAGAGAGGGAAAGA